ATTTATTGTGGATCGGGACCACTTTTAGGTGGTCCCTTCGTGTAAATAGGAGGGTAAAATTGAAAAAGAAGAAAAATAATAAGGGTAAAAAGGGAAAGAAAAATTAGTGTTGTGAGAGGGAACATCAAATCATTAGGTGGTCTGGAACATAAAAAATATTTCCCCCAACCTGCCTGGCTCTGATAAAAGAGAGAAGCTTCAAATATCTTAATATTTTAGTTAACAGGATTGTGTGTAGTCTCTTCCTTGACTGTTAAATCCTTTTTATAAACTTCAAAGAAATTTAAGACAGTTAGGGTTGCATGTCGTTAAGCCTTCGAGCTATCGCCCAATTTGTGGAAGAATTTCTTACTAAAAAAACGAATTAATTAGGAAAAGTTGTAAAGATTTGTAAATCTCTTATCTTTCCAACGCCACAAGAATCAGATCCATCGTATTGTCATATAAAGAGTTTTGTCTAATGTGTGGCAGCATAAGATTTTGGGCAACAAATTACATTATACCACCTTGGACTTAGCTGTTTTTTTAAAAAGGCATATTGTACTTTCAATTGAAACAATTACCCACCTTACACTATAATATTGAATCAATTAAACATATTTATTAATTATAAGACAAAATTAACCATGTTCTCAATCATCATACCCATAACTTAGCCTTCGCCACCAACCACCATTTTTCACTTCCCATACATCCCAAGTTTAATGAAGAAAAAAAATGATGATTATGGGTCTATGTCATATAAGAAGAAACACTATTTTTCACCATTGTTCTCAGTTTTACACTTGTTAGGAATGTGGTTTCTATACTCAAGAGGGGGTGAATTGAGTATTACAAGATTTTAACAAAAGTCTCCTTCTAGTTTCTAAATAATCATTTCAAGCAAACTTTGATATGTGAAAAGCTAATCAATACATTCATACAATCCATAATATATAATATATCACAATTATAGAACTTATACTAGCACATACAAGATATCAGAGAAGCAATTAAAGTGAAAAAATAAAGAGTTTGGAGTTTAGAGAATTGCAAACACAATATATCCTGGTTCGGTTACCACCACTTGTGACCTATGTCCAGACTGAAGACACTCGATCAACACTTTCACTGATGGTCAAGCTTCACGGGTGCTTGACAAACCTTTACAATCTTCCAAGACTTCGGGTTCTTGGATACCTTACAATCTCCAAGTTTACGGATACTTGGTAACCTTACAATTCACTCCAAATTTACTTAGGTATTTGGCCACCACTCAAACAATGGGTCTCACAACTCTTTCAACTCAAGAATACAAGGAGGAAAATATTTGGAAATGGATATACACTCTCAAAGTGTAGATATACAACTTGAAGCACTATGGGTATATGAATTTTCAAGATATGAGTTCAAATATGTTTGATCTTTGAAAGATATGAAAGAATATTCAAATGATAGTGTAGAAGCTCTCAAAGCATGCTTAATATGTGTAGAAATGATGCCTCATGTTTTTGAGTCATTGGAAATGCATATATAATGTTTTCATTGAAAACTAGCTGTTGAAAAACTAGCCGTTTATAGCTGTTGAAATCTCATTTGAAAAACTAGCCGTTTTATAGCCACTTATAGCCATTGGGATCTCATTTGAAAAACTAGTCATTTTATAGCCGTTGAGATCTGTCGCAGTGGTAATCGATTCTCAACTTGACAGCAAGAATATTGTTTCGTATTTTGGCTATAATTTGAGTTATACTTGTCGGAATGATGTGATCTTGGTCTCGTTGGAAAGATAAAAGAGAGATCTACAACTTTTATGAAGAACACAAGATCCAAGTCCATCATCTTAGATACAAAAATTTTATATAAGGCAGCAGCAAAATTAAGCAACAAATTTTAAGTTCAAATGTGTTCTAGCTTGCTTCCAACTACTTTTTGTGAAAGATCTTGACTTGATAAATATATTTTGAAGTTATAAAATATGTCAAGGATCTTTTCCATGGATTTTTCAAATTTATTTCAAGTATATAAAGGTTATGATTATGCAATTTGAAAAACACGTTTACTTTGAGAAAAACTTTGAGCTCATGCAATGCAATCTATCATATACCCTCACATATATTCTAAGTCCTAAAGATATATTCTAAATATGATTTTAGACTTAGCTTTATGTATTGTGTCTTGGATCTTTTCTTGAACTTGATGTTTTTGACTTGTTGAATATGACAATGCTTGACATTTTGTTGGTTTTGATCATTTTTCACCATGGTTGTGATATTGAGCTTCTCTTAGATGTTGTCATGGTTAGTTGTCTTTGATCTTGTTATTGCTCTTCTAATTATTCCTTGTTGCTCTTGATCCAATGATATTGCCACTTTGACATGACATCACTATTCTTGTGTGGCTACATCATACATCTTCAATATCCACATATGGTTGATGTTTTTTTCTCTTGATCAAATGATCTTGCCTTTTTGTTGTTGCCACTTTGTTATTATAAAAACATACATTGCATCTACATGCACATCCTAATAGTTGCATTGTTTTTTATATTGTTGATTCAACGATGTGTTTCCGATGAAATTAGTTTCTTGCTTGTTCAAATCTGTGAATGGTTGATAAACCCTTGGTTTACCATGTTTTTAGGCTAAATTATATAAGAACTATGTAGTAGAATGCATGGAATTCAAGGTTTTAATATATTTAAGTCATAAGATAGGAAATTGAGCTGATGTGTTGTTAATATTTGCATTTTGAAGGTAAAACCTCAAGAAATGGTGCTAAAAGTGCTAAAGAAATCATGACGAAGAAGTGAAGGATCAATATAGATCAAAGGAAGCTCAAATATTACAATTCAAGGTTCAGAATAGCACGCTCAAGCGTAAACATGGACGCTTGAGCGCTTGGAAGCAGGAAAAACAGCCAAACCGGGCAATTAAGAGCGCTCAAGCGCCCAACAGCACGCTCAAGCGCCCAAGATGACAAGATTTCAATTCGAAGAGCACACTAGAGCGCCCAAATGGCCGCTTGAGCGCGCATGGGCAGCAACTCCAGAAAATTTCAGCAATTCAGGACGCTCAAGCGCCCTGTAGCGCGCTTGAGCGCCCAAACACGAACCAGACAGCAAGATTTGGCAAGATTCCGCTGAGATCTAATGAAGATTTGTCCAATTATGATATGGAACTAAAGCGGAAACAAATCAAGATGATTCCTGAGAAGATTGAAGCAAGATACAACGAAGATTTAAAACTCTAATTTATCAACCAAATCTCCAAGATTTTACATGAAAAAGGAAACAAAGATGAAATCAAATACAAATCTTGTATGGATTCATTGGAAGATTAGATGATGGATACAACTCCTGTGGTTATAAATAAGGAGCTTGGGAGCACAAACCAATACACAATTCCAGAGCATTACACCAAGACGGAAGGAGGAATCCTGTTGCGGAGCGTTGGAACACTGAGGAACCAAGTCACCATCACACCAATGGAGGCTTGGGGTTCTCTTTTCTTTATTATTTCTTTTCAATTCAGTATGCTAGAGTAATTTTTTATGTAGTTAAGGGTAGATGGAACCCAATTGAATCTTTATGTTTATGAATTAAATTGTCTCCGAATCTTGTTCTTTTTATAATTGAATAAATTATCTGTTTTTAATGATTTCTATGAGTTTGTTCCTTATAGAATGATTTTGGGGAATTGTATGACAATTGGAATGTTGGTGCATGAACCTTGACTTGATAATTTATCATAATCCTTGTGATCTAGGAATAGGAATAGGAATAGACATAGGGTAATTATGCAATCTTGTAATTCTTGATCTTAATGCATGTTTTCTTGGGGAATAATCGGGGAACTAGAGTTCTTTCAAGATCACATAGATTTAGGGTAACAAGGAATTGAGCCCTAATTAACTTAGAAAGAATTGATTGGCAATATATTAAGAAACGGATTCTTGACTGTTTAATTCATAACATGTTGAGGACATTGGGGGAAGTCGAAATCTTAACTACGCTTTTTAAATCTTAATAAAACATCATCTCATTCATTCTTTTAATTCTGAATTTTCATATTGCATGCCTTTACTTGTTTTTAATTTTAAGTCTTGAACAACAATTCTCTTCATCTAAATTCACCACTCCCTCAAACCAAACCTTTGATATTCCAACTAAAACGCAATTAGCGAACTAGTGCTTGAAATTCTGATCCTCGTGGGAACGATCTCGTACTCCGGGACATTTTATTACTTTCATGATCGGTGCACTTGCCGTGTCGCTATCAAGTTTTTGGCGTCGTTGCCGGTGATCGAATTCTTCAACATTAGAAGTAACTAATTAACTTTTAGATTGGACGCTTTATTTTTCTGCACTTTAAACATTCTTCAAAAATATTTTTCTGCACACAAAAAAAAAAATCTGCATATTTTTTTTTGCATATTTAATTTCTGCATTCTTTGTTTTTTTTTTGTTTTTTTTTATTATTATTATTATTTTTTAATTATTATTTTTTTAATTATTATTTTTTTGCATTTTTTTTTCTGCACATCTTTTCAATCTTAGTTTATGCGAGGTACTCTTAACCCGAGAATCTTGCAGTTGATCTTGAGATAGAAAAGATAGAAAGGAGCCTAAAGAGGAACCAATGGCAAAAAACAATCAAATCGTTCGAAGGACGTTGGGAACCCCAGCTCGAGTTCCACATACGAAGAGCATTGTTAGACCAAACATAGAAGCGAACAACTTTCAGCTGAAGCCGGCGCTGCTGCAACTGATTCAAAAAGATTAGTTCGCTGGAGGAAGTACAGAGAACCCCTATAGTCATCTTGAGGATTTCCTACTTTACTGTGATACATTAAAAGTACATGGAGTTTCTCGTGATGCTATTTTGCTCAGACTATTTCCATGCTCACTGAAAGATTAAGCAAGAGATTGGCTGCAGTCTCTACCTGAAGGAAGCATAACCAATTGAGATGACTTAACAAGAAAATTCTTGGCTAGATTTTTCTCAGCTTCAAAAATGGCAAGACTCAAGGCGGAGATCAATGCTTTTGAACAAAAAGAAAGCGAATCTCTGTACGAGGCTTGGAAACGATTTAAAGGATTACTCAGGAAGTATCCTCAACATGGAATTGAAGCATGGGAGAAAGCAAGAATCTTTTTCCAAGGGATGACATCCAGCACAAGAACACTGGTGAATGCTGCTGTAGGAGGCTCCCTGAAAACAAAAACTCCTGAGGAAGCACTTGAACTGTTGGAATCATTAGCATCTCAAGAATTTGACAATGCTCCAGCCCCAGTTGCACCAAGAAAATCAAGAACTATGAAGCTTGAAGGCTATGATGCACTCTTAGCCCAGAATGAATAAATGCTACAAATGCACAAGAAACAACAAGAACAATTAGATGCTCTTAATAAGAAATTTAACATTTCTCAAGTTTCTTCTGTTTCTAATGCTAACATTAAAAGTGATATTTGTCAGGAGGCTCATACAACTGAGGATTGTGAATACATAAGAGCAGCGGAAAAGCCACTAGCAGAGGTCAATGGACTCTGGTATGATCAGAAGAATCAGAATCAACATCCAGGGTTGAGTTACAAGTCAAACTACCAGCTGAATCCTCATGTGCCATTGCAACAACAGCAGCAACCTCCACAATCAGAGTGGGAAAAAGCATTTGCACAGTTGTCCAAGACCACCTCGGACTACATTCAGAATTCAAATTCCTTCAGAGAGGAGACAAGAGCCTCATTCCGGAATCAAGAAGCTTCGATCCGGAACTTGGAGACTCAAATTGGTCAGCTGTCAAGACAGTTCACTGAAAGAACTCAGGGCACTTTTCCAAGCAACACAGTTGTCAATCCAAGGGAGCATTGCAATGTTATCACCACTAGGAGTGGGACAGTGATTCAACCTGTGGAAAAGCCACCAATTGAAAAGAAGAAAGAAGCTGAACCTGAAGTTGAGAAAGAGAAAGAAGAAGATGCAGTAGAAGCTGAAAAAATGCATTCCAGAGAAGAAGCTGTTCAAATGGGAGAAAAAGAAAGCTCTGGACAGGCAACCAAAAGCGGCAGACCCGTCTCCATATGCAAAAGTTCCATACCCTCAGCGGTTGAAACAAGAGGTCCAGAAATAACAATACACCAAATTTTTGGACATCTTCAAGAAGCTGCAAGTCAACATTCCCTTTGCTGAAGCTTTAGAGAACATGCCCAACTATGCAAGGTTTATGAAGGATCTATTGTCAAGGAAACGTAAGTTGCGAGAATATGAAACAGTAAATTTGACGAAGGAATGTAATGCTATCAGCAAAAAGAAGTTGCCTACCAAAGTCAAGGATCCAGGGAGCTTCAGCATTCAATGCACTATAGGCAAGATGGAAGTAGACAATGTTTTATGTGATCTTGGAGCTAGCATCAATGTCATGCCACTCTCAATGATGATGAAGCTGGGGATAACCGAAGTGAAGCCCACAAAGACAATAGTGCAACTGGCTGACCGCTCTTCAAAGCAAGCTTATGGTATCATCGAGGACATATTGGTTAAGGTAGACAAATTCATCATTCCTGTCGATTTTGTCATCCTTGACATTGAAGAAGATGCCACAATTCCTATGATTTTTGGAAGACCCTTCTTGGAAACTTCTGGAGCAGTGATTGATGTGCTAAAAGGCGAGCTGATATTACGGGTAGACGGAGAGCAAGTAACTTTCAAGTTCTTTGACAAAGAAGTCCCTTCATCTATAGCTCAACCGGAGGATCAAGTCTACTACATTGGTGAAAAGAAAGGTGAAGAAGAACACAATGAAGAGTCTTCTCGAGAAAGCAAGCCAAAAGTTAAAATGGAGAAACCTAGTAGCGAAAAAAAGCATGTAAAAGTCAAGTTCAAAGTTCCTGACACTACTTTACCTCATCCATATGCAGACGAGCACTACGGTAGGACACAATTTATGAACGATGGACCTTAGTCATCACCAAGCTTATGCTTTCAGCCACCATGAAAATAAATCAGGTACGTCAGGCTCGTGACGTAAAACAAGCGCTAATGGGTAGGCAAACCCACAGTTTACTGTTTTATTTTCATTGTTTTATTTATTTTTACTTTGAAATAAATAAAGAGAAAAATACAAAAATATAGGAGAAGGTGTTGAGACTAATGCCTACAATTGAGTGAATTTTACAGGTGAAGAAAAATAAACAAACAACAAGAGAGCAATTAGTTGTTCTGATTTCTCGACGCGAATTCTTTTTAGATTTAAATCTGTTGCTGAGGACAGCAACATTTAAATCTGGGAATGGGGAACGCGCGATTCATCTGAGCACAATTGAGTAAGCCGGAGGAACTTCATGAGCATACAGAATATCCGGCTAAAACAGGGAACTATCTCAAATCCCTTCTCCTTTGCTTTAGTTTTTTTTTTTCTTGCATTTTAAATTTTGTTTTTCATGATTAATTAGATAATTTTAATTGTTTTTGTTGAAAAACCCCAAGCCAAATTTTTTTGTGAAAATTCTGAAAATTTTTAAAGTATCTCAGTGTTAATTGGAAAAATGGCGGGAAATTGAAATTAGTAATTGATTCAGAGCATGATTATGCACTTATACAATTTTTTTATGAGCATCATTGCAAATGAGTGACATGGTTCTTCTAATATATTGTTTTATATTGAAGTTGTTTAGAGGAAAAGAACAGGATAGTTACTGTGCATTCATAGCCGTAAGGTTTCGAGCCTATACAGAAAATTTTTATTGAGTGTGCATTCTACTGATGAAAGACTCTAGAACTTGCTTTATTTCTGGCTTGAATTAGTATGTGATTTATTCTATAGATATGATTGAGGCATGTTCTTTCTTTAAACTAGATGGCCAAATAGTCAACCATTACTACTATTCCTTAGTTAACCACTTTTAGTCTAGGCCTGTTTATTCTTTGAAAACCTATGAATTGAATAAGCCATTATCCATACACTCCTCACCTTAATTGAGATTGAATTTCAGATTGAGGACAAGTGCTCATTGATTGAATATATGAATAATGATGTGTGGAAGTACAAGGAAGAAAGGCAAAAGCCAAGTAAGGTTGGTTGGAAGGAAGAAGAAACAAACAAAGAGAAAGAAAACTACTCGAAAAGAAAGCGGAAAAGGAAAAAAGTGAAACAAAAAGAAAGAAGAGTAGTATGAGAAAAGAGAAGGACAAATAAGAGAAAAAGTCCAAGAAAAAAAAAGAAGTGAAGAAGAACGAACGACAAGAAAAAAAAAGTTGTTGAAAAATTGGAAACAATTACATCCATTCCTCTTCAAAATCTGGATTTTAATCTCAGAGCCCTTTCTCCAAATTTTCCTTCCCCTTCAGCCAGACCAAGTTACAACCTGAATAAAGACCTCTTGATCTGTTGAATACTTTATTATTATTGTGGAGAGCTAGAATATGAGCAAGCCTATGGTAGTCTGATTCAGTAGGATATGAGTGAAACACCAACCCTCTAAACAGTTCAGCGTGAGTGAATTGTAAACCTAGTGAGGGAGTGTCTCTGGAAGTTTCCCCTGTTCTTGATCTTAAGGAATTTCACTAGAAGTTTCTACTGATGGATTATTGATCTTAATGCTTTGATATATCATCCTTTTCTTAAGTTTGAATGCTCTGTAGTCATTTCTCTGATTAAATCCTGTTTATGAATTCCATGCAATTAAGAATCTTGATTGATTCCACTAAGTTTATTCTAGTGCATTGCTGAGGACAGCAATGTTCAAATCTGGGAATGGTTGATAAACCCTTGGTTTACCATGTTTTTAGGCTAAATTATATAAGAATTATGTAGTAGAATGCATGGAATTCAAGGTTTTAATATATTTAAGTCATAAAATAGGAAATTGAGCTGATGTGTTGTTAATATTTGCATTTTGAAGGTAAAACCTCAAGAAATGGTGCTAAAAGTGCTAAAGAAACCATGACGAAGAAGTGAAGGATCAATATGGATCAAAGGAAGCTCAAATATTACAATTCAAGGTTCAGAATAGCATGCTCAAGCGCAAACATGGACGCTTGAACGCTTGGAAGCAGGAAAAACAGCCAAACTGGACAATTAAGGGCGCCCAAGATGACAAGATTTCAATTCGAAGAGCACGCTCAAGCGCCCAAATGGTCGCTTGAGCGTGCATGGGCAACAACTCCAGAAAATTTCAGCAATTCAGGGCGCTCAAGCGCCCTGTAGCGCGCTTGAGCGCCCAAACACGAACCAGACAGCAAGATTTGGCAAGTTTCCGCTGAGATTTAATGAAGATTTGTCCAATTATGATATGGAACTAAAGTGGAAACAAATCAAGATGATTCCTGAGAAGATTGAAGCAAGATACAACGAAGATTTAAAACTCTAATTCATCAACCAAATCTCCAAGATTTTACATGAAAAAGGAAACAAAGATGAAATCAAATACAAATCTTGTATGGATTCATTGGAAGATTAGATGATGGATACAACTCCTATGGTTATAAATAAGGAGCTTGGGAGAACAAACCAATACACAATTCCAGAGCATTACACCAAGACGGAAGGAGGAATCCTGTTGCGGAGCGCTGGAACACTGAGGAACCAAGTCAACATCACACCAATAGAGGCTTGGGGTTCTCTTTACTTTATTATTTCTTTTCAATTCAGTATGCTAGAGTAGTTTTTTATGTAGTTAAGGGTAGATGGAACCCAATTGAATCTTTATGTTTATGAATTAAATTGTCTCTGAATGCTGTTCTTTTTATAATTGAATAAATTATCTATTTTTAATGCTTTCTATGAGTTTGTTCCTTATAGAATGATTTTGGGGAATTATATGACAATAAGGATGTTGGTGCATGAACCTTGACTTGATAATTTATCATAATCATTGTGATCTAGGAATAGGAGTAGGAATATACATAGGGTAATTATGCAATCTTGTAATTCTTGATCTTAATGCATGTTTTCTTGGGGAATAATCGGGGAACTAGAGTTCTTTCAAGATCACATAGATTTAGGGTAACAAGGAATTGAGCCCTAATTAACTTAGAAAGAATTGATTGGCAATATATTAAGAAACAGATCCTTGACTATTTAATTCATAACATATTGAGGATATTGGGGGAAGTCGAAACCTTAACTACGCTTTTTAAATCTTAATCAAACATCATCTCATTCATTCTTTTAATTCTGAATTTTCATATTGCATGCCTTTACTTGTTTTTAATTTTAAGTCTTGAACAACAATTCTCTTCATCTAAATTCACCATTCTCTCAGACCAAACCTTTGATTGTCCAACTAAAACGCAATTAGCAAACTAGTGCTTGAAATTCTGATCCTCGTGGGAACGATCTCGTATTCCGGTACATTTTATTACTTTCACGATCGGTGCACTTGTCGTGTCACTATCATTGCTCTTCTAATTATTCCTTGTTGCTCTTGATCCAATGATATTGCCACTTTGACATGACATCATTATTCTTGTGTGGCTACATCATACATCTTCAATATCCACATATGGTTGATGTTTTTTTCTCTTGATCAAATGATCTTGCCTTTTTGTTGTTGCCACTTTGTTATTATCAAAACATACACTGCATCTACATGCACATCCTAATAGTTGCATTGTTTTTTATATTGCTGATTCAACGATGTGTTTCCGATGAAATTAGTTTCTTGCTTATTCAAAATTTCAGTACAGCAATTAAGAGCCTTTATGGTCTGGAAACGTTGTCCCCCAACTTCATGTCTCTGGTTCAGATGGCAGAGCTATATGTTCTAATTTTTAGGTTATGAACAATAATTGAAGAATATAAATCAGAGTATCATTTGAAAGCTAGTTTAACCCACTTTGAACTGCAGTACTCGTATCAAACTGTAACCAAGAATTATTTAATGGTTTATGTAAGGGATTACAGGACTAAAAAGAATAGCAATTCCAACATCGTATTTTGAATCTAATGGGTTGTTATTGGATATCTATTCTTGGGTATCTCACCACCATGTGAGATGAAAACAAAGCATTAGAAGAGAAAACTTACCAAATAAGGACAACCCAGATGAGAAATAGATGAAATCTAAGATCTGAAAGAAGGCATAAAAACATAGAGAGGGCGAGAGGCCTTCTTTTTTTCTTTTTTTCTTTTGTCTTACAATTACATGATACCATTGTATAATAAGCAAAGAGTGTAACAGCTTGTTACGTACTGATATTGTTAACATTGATTATGATATTAGGCGCAGTTACAATCACAACAATTCATTTATAAAAATACGAGTAAACTTTTTTCTTTTTATTACGCGAGCATTTAAAATAATAATAAAGCGTAATAATTAAAAGTTGTGACCGTAACTGATAACTCATTGTGGAATAATAATTTAAAATGCCTAGATATCATATAACACTCCGCTCAAGTCACTAAAGGGTTCACATAAACCCACTTAGCCTAAATTTCACTTTTACGTTTTCTACTTATTCGAACATGGTTCAGTATTCTGGATATTACAGAATATCCGCATGCCGTGAACCTCTCATCTTTAGTATGTTATTTTACACTTAATTATCTTTCTAACAAGCTATCACACGAGTCATAAAGTTCTTGTTTGCTTCTGTTATCGCCGTTTGAAGTTGGACAAGCAAATCTGCCAGCCAACCTCAAACAGGGCTCCAAATAGCCCTCACTCTCTCAACGATTCTGAAAATTCCAATCCACCAATTGCTCTCAAATTTTTATACAGTAAAATAGACACCTAAATCTTCAATTTGACATATCATGCACCGAATTTGACTAAGAAACAAAGCGGAAATAATTTTCCCAAAAACTGCCAGTGACAGCCCATGTGCAGGAGCGTTATGAGCAGTCTGTTCTCTCTAGCTTCTACTGGGCTGCATGATACTCGTATGGATCTCAAATTTTGACACAAAGTATTTTACATCTCAAGCTTTAAAATAGTGTATGGAACGTTCCTATTGAACCTTTGTGGAGGAAGATATGCTCTCCCAAAGTTCGCCTAAAATCTGTCAATTTCTAGAAATCTTGCCAGAGTCTCCTTTGTTTTTCCAACATATCCCACCATTGAAGGTGTGTTATCTAACGTCAAATGGTACCTAATAAACATGGGTGGCATTCAAGGACCAGAAATGCCTTGGTTCTCTTACAACCCTTCACAATTTATATCAAAAGCTTACTTTATGATTCAACATTTACATTGCCAAAGCTTAAACCATTTCAATCACATTAATTCCTTTGCATGCATTCTTTTTGGCATAAAACATAAATCACATCCTAGAATAGGCCTATTGCCCTTTCATCATATAGCATCCTTCAATATTACACAAGGTCTCAATAATACAATTTACAACGCTTCTTTACAAATATTACAATAACCTCATGAAAGGAATGACGACCAAACTTAGACAAAATGTGACATGAACACAGATGACAAATAATAATCCTAGCTAAGTCTAGCCTAGGCCCAATGGCCACAAAATGCAAAATAATCCAATGTCCAAGCACCACAGCCACTACCTGAAATAAAGTCCCCAAGACGGGGTGAGATATACGAATATATCTCAGTAACCCAGAGGTTCTAGAGAATACTCCGCCCAATGCTCACTTCGATGCATATCAATAATATAATACAACATTCCAAAACGGGATAAAGTAAGGAATTTAGTGAAGTAGGGAAGCATAGGGAATAAAATACGATGAAGCTAGAATGATCGATGCCAATATCACACAACATCCGGCCTATTGGCCTCGACATATAGCCTACGACAAGGAAGCACAGACACTTGTAAAAACAGGAAGAATCGTGTCCGACACGCTCCGACACGATGTCTGACATGTGGTCAACTTTTCTGACACGTTGACCATTCTGACACGCGAATTTGACCGTGTCCGACACGGTCAAATGGCATTTTCGTAAAAAACAATTTTTTTTAAAAAATTTATCTTTTAGAAAAATTAAATATATTAATAAAATTAAATATTATTAAAAAAGAAATAAAATTTTATAAAAACATAATCCTAAACTAAAAACGTAAAAAACGCAAACCTAAAGTTCTCTGATGTCTGATCTCTCTCTGCACTCATAAAAAACGTGTCTGCTTGCCTCTTTCGTCTCTTTTTCCTTATCGTCTGGTCTCTAAGTCTCTCCTCTCCTCTTTCTCTCTCGGTGTCGCTGTGGTCAGGTCACTGGTCTCTTTCCTTCTCTCGCTCGCTGATTCGCTGTGCATTGTGGTCTCTTTCCCTCTCTCGCTCGCTGAGTCGCTGTGGATTGTGGTCTCTTTCCCTCTCTCGTGAGTCGCTGGCCTGTGGTCTAATGGTCTCTTCGAGAAGACTGGTTTGAAATTTTTTTTTTTGGTTATATTCTGGTTCGATTTGTTTTATTTTACTGGTTTATTGGTTTATTTTGTGAGTCGATTTGTTTTGTTTGAAATTTCTGGTTTATTTTTTTGGTTATATTCTGGTTTATTTTTCTTTCTCTCTTTTGATTTACTGGCCTGTATGAATTTCCTTTCTTCTTTTCATTAAATGTATTTCAACAAAAAAAAAATTGTATTTAAAATATTATTTTTTTAGGATTAACGCAATTTATAGTGGTTCATGAACTTGCCATAAACAAAACTATATATAAAAAAAAAAAATTGTTCATCAAGGGGGGCATGTTGAAATCTGCATTCAGTTTGAGAATTAGGTGAACTGATTGATTTTTCAATTACATACTAATGCTAACTTAGCATAAAAGTTTGACACGAACAACTGGATCAGCGATGGATAGAGTTTTTTTAATGAAAAAGAAGAAAGGAAATTGACAGGCTGTATGAATAATATTGTTTGGAAAATAAGTGTTAGGTTTGTTTGGAAAATATTGTTTGTCACAAATAATATATAATAGGTATGTCGTGTGAGTGATAAAAATAAACGAATAATATATTTCTTTATTTGATATAGAAAGAAATATATCAGTAAACAAATTGATTTGTTAATGAATTATTTTATTTAATTTCTTTATGCTACTATTTTAATTTAATTGTTCTATATTTTCATAAGTAATTATTTTGTTCATAGTGTTTAATTTTATATTTTTTAGAATGGATTCAAGTATTACAAGTAGTGGAGATGATGAATTTCTAAGGAAGCCATTACGGAAATATGTTACCAAATTAGGCACCACAACGGAAGCATGAGGGAATCTATCTTGGAAATGCAATTTTTGTGAAAAGGATTTTAAAAGTTCGTATACTAGAATAAGGGCTCATTTGCTTAAAATAGCAGGTAAAGGAATTGCAAAATGTTTACATGTGCAGACAAAAGACTTGCTAGAGATGGAGAAATTAGAACAAGAAACTAGTGAGAGATTGAAGAGTAATGCACCTAAAAATATGCCTTTACCCCTTTCTAGTTTTTCTGTGGAATCAAACTCGAAAAAAGAAGAAGTGGAAGTGAGGGTGGAAGTTCATCTAGAAATCCTATTGAGAGGGCATTCAATGTTGGGGCGTGAGAAGAATTGAACCACTTGATTGCTAGGATGTTTTATTCAGCAGGATTGTCATTCACTTTAGCAAGGAACCCATATTTTCAAGCAGCCTTCACTTTTGCTGCAGATAATAATATTGGAGGTTATATGTCACCAAGTTATAACTCCTTGCGAACCACTCTTTTGCATAAAGAGAAGGAAAATATTGATAAGTTGTGTGCACCTATTCGAGCTGGGTGGAAAGACAAGGGAGTTAGTATTGTGAGTGATGGATGGAGTGATTCACAAAGGAGGCCACTTATTAATTTCATGGCAGTATCTGATGGTGAAGCTATGTTTTTTAAATCAGTTGATTGTTCAGGAGAGACTAAGGAGGCATTTTATTAGGAGGTTGTAAAAGAAGTAATTCAAGAAGTTGGCATGAAAAAATGGTTCAAGTAATCACGGATCATGCTGCAAATCATAAGGGAGCAGGGCATCTTATTGAGCAAGAATTCCATCTATTACTTGGACACCATGTGTTGTTCACACACTGAATTTAGCTGTGAAAAATATTTGTGCTGCAAAAAATGTGGAGAATAATCAAATAGCATATGAGGAATGTAGTTGGATTTCTGATATTGTTGGAAATGTTTCTTCAATAAAGAACTTCATAATGAATCATTCTATGAGACTGTCAATGTTTAATGAGTTTGTGGGAATGAAGTTGCTTTCTATAGCTGAAACCCGCTTTGCTTCCATGATTGTGATGCTAAAGAGGTTCAAATTGATAAAATGTGGTCTCCAAAATATGGTAATCAATGAAAAATGGAGTTTGTATAAAGATGATAATCTAGGACGGGCAAGAATGGTTAAAGATAAGATTTTGGATGATCTTTGGTGGGATTCAATTGATTATATACTTGATTTCACTTCTCCTATTTATAATATGATCAGGATTTGTGACACTGATAAACCTTGTCTTCATTTGATTTATGATATGTGGGATTAGATGATTGTAAAAGTGAAGAAAGCTATATACTTTCATGAATTGAAAAGGATGGATGAGACCTCAACTTTTTATGAGGTGGTGCATGGCATTCTTGTGGATCGTTGGACCAAACATTCAACTCCACTTCATTCTTTGGCACATGCTTTGAATCCCAAGTAAGCTTTTAATTATGAATGAATTGAATACTTCTCTTATTTGATATAACTTGTTTAATTGTTTTTCTTTTTTTTCTTTCAGATACTATAGTGAACAATGGCTTAATGAATATCTTAGTCGAGTTCCTCCACACAAGGATTTAGAGATTAATCAAGAAAGACAAAAACGCTTAAAGAGATACTTTCCTAACTTGGAGGACCGAAATAAAATAAATTCGGAGTATGTGGACTTTGCTAGTATGAGTGGAGGTTTTAGAGATTATGATGCCATGCAAAATCGATATTCTATGAAGCCCAAAGCTTGGTGGGTGCTTCATGGTGCTTGTTCACCTATGCTTCAAAAGATAGCATTGCAACTTGTTGCACAACCTTCTTCTTCATCCTGTGCTGAACACAATTGGAGTACTTATTCTTTTGTGTATTCTGTAAGAAGGAATAAAATGACTCTAAAACGTGCTGAAGACTTGGTTTATATACATAGCAACCTTAGGCTCTTATCAAGAAAGACTTCACAATATACACAAGGGGATAATAGAATGTGGGACATTGCTGGAGATACATTTGATACATTTGAAGATGTTGGAATTCTTGAAGTTGCTACTCTTTCACTTGATGAGCCAGAGATGGAGTCAAATGTTATTCTAGATGAAAATGTTCCATGAAGGTAATCTATAATCTCCATGTTTTATGTTTTTCTATGGATATACTATTATTTTTGCTTTACATCAATATAATGGTTGTAACATCCTGAGCGCTGACGAGGGTGGGGAGTGATAGCCAGTGCAAAGAGGCACGGACAATGAGCGGCTCCTGACAGGCTTCCAGCGGGGGGTTACATGCATGAATGAATCGAATCGACACCCGAAAAAGAGGGATTCCAAAGACTGTGCAAGTGTGAGACTGCACAGTTTAGGATATCTTATAAGAATTAATTGGTACTACCTATACTAACAAGATGCATCTGCTTTTCGGTAGCCCGGATCGGAAGAACTCCACAGTTAAGCGTGCTTGACTTGGAGCAATTCTGGGATGGGTGACCTCCTGAGAAGTTTTCCCGGGAAGTGTGCGAGTGAGAAAAAAGCACATTGAAAAGTCTCGTGTTAGTATGTGGGGATAGTCATTGATTCTTGCAAGTAGTCGGGCGTTACAAGTGGTATCAGAGCAGGGCCTCTCGTCCAGTACGGTGTGGTTCGAGGAAGAACCAGGCGGAAGCTGGTGGACATGTAACATCCTGAGCGCTGACGAGGGCGGGGAGTGATCGCTAGTGCAAAGAGGCACGGACAAGGAGCGGCTCCTGACAGGCTTCCAGCGGGGGGTTACATGCATGAATGAATCGAATCGAAACCCGAAAGAGATGGATTTCAAAGACTGTGCAGGTGTGAGACTGCACAGTTTGGGATAGCTTATAAGAATTAATTGGTACTACCTATGCTAACAAGATGCATCTGCTTTTCGGTAGCCCGGATCGGAAGAACTCCACAGTTAAGCGTGCTTGACTTGAAGCAATTCTGGAAAGGGTGACCTCCTGGGAAGTTTTCCCGGGAAGTGTGCGAGTGAGGAAAAAGCACACTGAAAAGTCTCGTGTTAGTATGTGGGGATAGTCATTGATTCTTGCAAGTAGTCGGGCGTTACAATGGTATTATGGAAATGATTTATTTTTTGGTTAAATTGATGGATATTAGTTTAGATTTATTTTTTTGTTAAATTATTGAATATTAAATGAAATATACACTATATAAATTAAAAATATTATTTAATATTAAAACGTGTCCCAATGTGTCAAAATTCATATATTTTTAGGATTGATGTGTCGAAGTGTCGTGTCGTGCCACGTGTCGCGTGTCGAGTCAGTGCTACCTTGGCCTACGGGTTCCAAACCAAGGAAGTCTTCCCAAAACATCAACCAATGCACCCCCCATCCATATACACCCAAAAATTCCTAGTGTGCTCCTCTAAGAATGACACACCACGACCCCAGGTCAACTGGAACTCCCTCATGGAGACCTATCCAGTGGAAGTCCGTATCACCCAAAGGAAAACTGTCTTCTAGCCAGAGACTCGGTACATCCTATGTACCACTAACATACACTAATGCATGAGCATGTTATACTACATTACCAACATACACCTCTAACCACTACCCTCAACGGCCATGGTGGAGCACACACGGGGATCAAACCCCAGTACCAAGGGATTACCTGAAAAATCTCCTCCGCTTGATAGCTCCAAATCACAATGTCACTGTAAGAACTCGCACCGTTAATTAAGGAAGTAAATTAATTAATTATGAGAAATTAAGAAATAATTCCATAATTGACCCTAATAATTATTATGAGGATTAAATAATTATGGTAAGTGTTTTATAAAGCTGAAAGTCGCTTTTCTGACGAAAAGTGCAGATACCGGTTCTGCTACTCGGTATAACTGCGTACCGATGAAGTATCCCGGAAAGTTATAATAAGTGCATGAATATTCCTAGAATAATATATAGGATTGGGATTTCAAGTTTCAGGTTAAAATAATGTGAAATGGTGCCAGAACTGATACTAGCTATGTAAAAGCGTGTACCGGAAAGGTGCTGCGAAAAATAAAATAAAAATGTGATTAATCTTAGAAAAATGAGTAGGTTCAGAATCATAAGTTTGAGATTAAAATGCTAAGCGTAGCTATTAACACTAATACAGAGTATTTTAATTTAAACCGCCTATAAATACTTAATGGCACAGTTTTCTAGGGCATTTCTCATACTCCCTACGTGCCTCCTTTGCTGAAGCTTCATCAGCCACCTTGCCACCTTCTTCCTCCCCTTCTTGTGAGCCAAAGTGAGCACCTTTGGTCTTTGTTTCTTCACCAAAATACCTTGTGTGTGAGAGAGCTTGCTTGGTGAGTGAGGAAACACTCCATTTTCTGAGTTGGCGGTCTGTATGAGTGGGTGTTGGGGATGACCTCTTTTGTTTAGTGGTGTGAGAGCCAGTCTTGTGATGATTTGAGCTTCAAGAAGCCATCTTTGTGAAGAAAGAACCTTGCTTTGTTGCCATTTTTGTTTCTTTGCAAGTCAGAACTGTGGGAACTTGGTGGTGAGCTCCAAGAGCACTCCTTTTCTGAGTTTGAACCTTGGGTAAGTGTTACCAACCATTGATCATGAGTTTTAATGGTTAAAAGTGAAGTCTTGGCATGTATAATGAGTTGTTTAAGTAAACAACACTTATGTGAACCTGTATGTGCCTAGAAATGGAGTCTTGAATGTTGGTAATTGGTAAAAGTTGAACCTTTGATGAATATCTTCGTGAAATGCAAAATCTGCATCTGTCGCGAAATATCCGGATATAAATATCCGGATATGATATCCGGATATGGAATAAATATTTGGTACTACTGATGTACCAAGATTCAGTGCATCTTATCAATTAAAGCATTACACATCATAGGAGAGAGAGAATTTTTGACAAAAATAGAAAAATTTAGCTGACATGTGATATTTTCATTAGTGAGATGTACTAAATCTTTGGTACAGCAGTAGTACCAAAGATTTATTCCCGGATATGATATCCAGATATTGATATCGGAATATGGAGTCTTATGATATCCGAATATGGATATCCGGATATTGCCCCGACAAATATCCGGATATTCTAGGTTTTCGGAGAACAGTAGCTGCACTGTTCATACAGAATGCTGTTATGAGTTTGTGGACCCTAGTTTGATGAAGTGGGACTTCTGTAATAACTAAACTAAGTCAGAATCAAGTGATTAAGGGCTTGTGGCTTTATGAGAAGCCTTAAGACATGAAACGTAAAGGAAAGGCGTTGTCTTTATGTCGTTTGCTTGTCGAGTTTGAATATTAATATTATTATTGGTCCAAAACATATTGTGATTCTGCTGTGTTTGGGCTTTGAGCTTGGTTGGACTCTTGGCTTGGATAGCTAGCTTGCAAGGTAAGTTTTCGTGTCCTCGGTTTAGCCATTGTGTGGTTCCATTATACCCCATGAGGGAATAGTTTATATGCATGTTGTGTTTACATGTTTTGATAATTGAAAATATTGTTGAGCTTTATGTGCAATTGCTTATAATATGTATGTGTTGTTCCACTTTGATGGTGAGCCTGAGTATGTGGCGTCATACAAGACGGTGACACTGTGGATGGGTGCAAGTGGCGTTTTGCACTAGTGTGGGTAATAGATGTATTCCTGTATTTCTCTGTCCATTAGATTAGTATTGACACACATGACATGATTATCTGCTGCATTGCACTATTTTGGAACTTATATTGTTAAACTGTTTTTGAACTTATATTGCACATGTAAGTGACTTGGGGTGGAAGATCCTTGAGGACCCCTTGCCTTACTGAGATTTCTGTTTAGAGATCTCACCCCACGTTTGGGGCGCTTATTTCAGGTTCAGGTAATGCAGGGGTTGTGACCTCAAACGGCAGGAGGTCGGAGCTTAGTTGATTTATGTTTATCTGTTATGATGATTGTGCTGAGATGCTGGATATGCCTGTTGCTATTATGTCATTAGCTTTATTATTATGTTGTTGTTGAGACTTGCTGGGCTTGTTGCCTTATTTTGTGAGCATGGAGATTGTCCATGCCACGATTGACTTTGTATTATTTTAGTTTTGGGATGTATTAATGTATCAGGATGCTGTCCAGACTACGTGTTGTGGATCCGTAACTTAGATACTCACGTATTTATGTATGAGGTATTTCAGTTAGCTGTCGTTTGCAATTTACATACAGGCGATGTTTTTATGAAAATGTTTAAGTAATCGACTTGGCTAAGTATAATGACGTCATAATTGAAAAGAAAAAGATATTCCGCATTTATAAATTAAGTGTGGCTTAATACGATGACATGTTAACAAACCGGGTATACACGGGGTGTTACAATCACCGAGCTCGGTTCACAAGAAATGCCTACACATAGGCCAAGATATATACAAGCTTATCAATTAATCATGCATAGATTCAAGACGACTTACCAAAATCCCTTTGGTCAGGGACCAAAGGCAACCCACCAAGCTCAAAGCTCCTGCTTCAATTCCGTTGGAGGCAACCTACAGTGATCACACGATGATCATCAACACACAACTCATCCAAACACCATCTAACACCACAACACATCAATTACATAATTTTACAACATCAAACCCCAAATGCTCACTCATGGCCGAATTCACCAAGCCCCATAACCAAAGGGTATTCAATCCAATTTAACACTCCCACACATCATATACTCCTATTATTAATTCATACAAATACTCCACAACTCAATTTCACAATCATACAATATATCAATTCCACAAAGTTATGACATTTCAACACAAAATTTTCCTAAGTTACCATCCAAATTCTCCAATAATTTTTATGACATCAATCACTCCAAAACATCATTCTAAGTCACCTACATCTAATACACAATTTCAATTTGAGCTCTCTAACTACATCAATCACACAATTTAGCTTAAGGGTTCATAAAATTGATCCATCAATTTAACCAATCAAAAGTGTGGAAACTTACTCACAAGCTTGGCCTAAGATTCCTCCAAGTGATCTCCAACCAAAAGCTTGAACACAAAGCTCACGAACTCCAAAAACCCCTAAATGGCCGCGGATTTAGACGGGACTTTTCTCCCAAATGAGTGAATTTCAAGGGAAATATA